ATCACTTATTGATGATTACACTTATATACCGATTCCCAGAAGATATGATCTTGAGTATTTAGGATATCGACCTACTGTAATTTAGCTATTAAAATAATTTACATTTTTTAAAAGGTAGAGCTGTAATTTGTTCAGATCTCTAAAGTAACGTTTAACAGGTTGAGAACATAATGTACGACATGTCGTTAGATAGCTTGTACTATTACATTTTAGATGAAATATACAACTAAGTAGACAAAAAGTAAGAGTCAACATGACTACAATAATAAATTGGCCAGGTGGAATGCTGGAATTAAAAAGCGAAATTACGTTCTTTTACTCCTTGCAATTTTTGTTCAAGATACGATATTCTTGTATTAAATCGACATGAATTGTGCTCAGCATGACACTCAAGAACTCCGCCTGTAGCTCTTCTAGAGTTACTGCCGGCCCCAAGCCCGGGTAAAGGAGGAGGGTTGGGCATGGGGTTATCGTCCCCATCCCGTAAAAAACTAACTCGCTAAAAAAAACGCTTACCAGAAAAAATAATTCTAACCATTTAAACTCTGGCCTGAGAGTTAGAAGGTCTTCATTTAGAAGAATTATGACACTTCATGGTGAAAGCCGAGTTACTTCGGAAGCCACGAGGCCGATGCCGCTTCTAACAACCAGAGCAAAAAATTTTATAGGTACATGGAACGTCCGAACAATGTGGGAGACCGGGAAGACCAGTCAAATAGCAACGGAAATGAGATGCAACCTGGCAGTACTGGGAATCAGCGAAACCCATTGGACCCAAGCTAGAAAACATAGGCTAAATAAGGGAGAAACGCTAATATATTCCGGCCACGAAGAGGAAAATGCTCCGCACACTCAGGGAGTTGCTATAATGCTGTCCAAAGTAGCACGAAATGCACTTGTATGATGGGAATCTCACGGATCCAGAATCATCAAAGCATTATTCAAAACAAAGGAGGGGATCACAATGAATATTATCCAATGTTATGCACCCACCAATGATAGAAACGACGACATTAAAAATCAATTCTACGAGCGGCTGCAGTCAATCATAGAGAAGTGCCAAAGAAAGGATCTCATCATTCTGATGGGAGATGTAAATGCCAAAGTTGGAATAGACAACATCGGATATGAAGATATCATGGGACGACATGGAAAACGAAAATGGAGAATGGTTCGCAAATCTGTGTGCATTCAACAAATTGGTCATAGGAGGCACAATATTTCCACACAAACGAATACACAAAGCTACATGGATCTCACCGGACCACACTACAGAGAACCAGATAGATCATATTTGCATCAACAAAAAATTCCGAAGGATAATGGAAGAAATGAGAACCAGGAGAGGAGCTTATATAGCTTCAGATCACCACCTAGTTGTGGCCAATCCAAAACTGAAGCTAAAGAAAAACTGAACAAACAGCACTACCAAGGTTCAATACAGCCTTCCTTCGAGATACTAACAAAATCAACAAATTCAAGATAGCTCTCAACAACAGGTTCCAAGCCTTACAGGATTTACTGAAGGAAGAAGAAACTACTATGGAGGACAACTGAAAAAGTATCAAAGAAGCATTAACTTCAACGTGTCAAGAGGTTCTGGGTCTAAAGAAGCACCATCATAAGGAATGGATCTCTACAGAAACACTGGACAAGATCGAAGAAAGGAAGAACAAGAAGACAACAATTAACAACAACCGAACACGAACAGAGACAGTTCAAGCACAAGCTGAATACATAGAAGCAAACAAGCAAGTGCATAAAAGCATTAGCGCCGACAAGAATAAATACGTGGAATTACTAGTAACGACGGCCAAAAAAGCTGCAAGGGAAGGAAATATGAAACAGCTATACGATTTAACGAAGAAACTATCAGGGAAATACAGTAAACCAGAGAGACCGGTCAAGGACAAAGAAGACAGGCCAATCACTGAAATTCAACAGCAGCGGAACAGATGGGTAGAGTACTTCGAGGAACTCCTGAATAGGCCGGCTCCAATGAATCCACTGGACATCGAAGCATCACACACAGATCTTCCCACAGATGTCAAACCACCAACGACGGAAGAAATCAGAATGGCCATCAGACAAATCAAGAACGGGAAAGCAGCAGGACCTGACAATATACCAGGTGAAGCATTGAAGTCAGACATCGAAGTAACTACAAATATGCTTCACCTTCTATTTAAAAAGATTTGGGAGGAAGAACAAATGCCAATAAACTGTAAAGAAAGATACCTCATCAAGATTCCAAAGAAAGGAGACCTGAGCAGATGTGAAAACTATAGAGGCATTACACTGCTGTCAATACCAGGGAAGGTCTTCAACAGAGCGTTGCTGAACCGGATGAAAGATGCAGTAGGCGCCCAACTTCGAGATCAACAAGCTGGATTCCGTAAGGATCGGTCGTGTACAGACTAAATTGCGACAATACGGATCATCGTCGAACAATCAGTTGAGTGGAATTCGTCACTTTACATCAACTTCATTGGTTATGAAAAGGCATTTGACAGTGTAGATAGGAGAACGTTATGGAAACTTCTTCGACACTACGGAGCGGCCTATGTTCCTTCACGAGGAGTAACAAGCGTAAGTAATGACACTCAGGATAACTGTATTTTTTATATACGTAATTTCATCCTAATTAACAATCAAAATAGGTCTACAATCAATGTATAAATGAGTATATTTCCGACTAGGGTCATCGTTGTCGAGTTTTGGTGTTAATAAACCTTTATTTGTACTAGTCTTTGTGTTCTTTCTTCCGAATCGTGGGAATCGCAGTGGCTCCTTGTTTCACGAGTAGTATAAGTGATAAGCGATTCCGACATAACAACTGGTGACGCAGTTATAACAATTGACCACCAGTCATAACAGTTGGCAACGACTCGATATAACACGACTATAAACATATCTTATGGTATATTTTCCGATGCATAATTTTATTGTATGTACCGAACATTTTTTAAGAATAAAATCGTTCTCTTGAGCTTGAGTTCAGAAAACATCAAAATTAGAACTTTCGCTCGGAACTAACATTGGAAAAGGTAATGCAGAGTATTGATTACTCGAGTTCCGTCAAAGGTTTGTAATGCTTAGTACTATTTCAAGCTTACATGGATTATTTTAGCTTCTGGAGAGATCAATTTATTTATTTTTCTTGAGTTGCATTTTGACCTTGTCGATTATTCGCTTATTAAACTTGACTGTTTTTTGGATGAGTATGTGTATATTGCTTACCCTAATCATCACATTTTTAGCTTTTTTTTCTGGCTATAAATATTGAGTCACACTTGATCAAAGAGAATCGTCAGACTTACCTTCTCCGCGTTTCTCATTTTTAATATTTGTTTGGAATAAATTCATCCAACTTAACACGTATTTAGCTTCTTACCGCCGTTTCACAAAGAGGGTTAGCCCAGTAGTAATAGACTGAATTAGGATGGAACGTTTATATACATGGCATATTCAATTTGTTCGATTGAATTGTAGATCAGAGGGCCACAAAGGGTTTCTCACACTGTGGAAGGATATTTCTTTGTGGGTTATCAGAAAATCGAACTGGGTTATTCGTAGTCTTGATGGCCATTGAGTGTTAACACTAGGCCAAAGGGACTGCTTGAGACCGGTCACACAAGACCATCTTAGTAGTGGTGACTTAGATTTGTACGTTTCTTAAGCCTTATCGCTAGCGATGGGAGTCCGTGAGACGAGTTGCGCTATTTTCCGAATAAAACCCCTCGTTTTGTTGTGACAAGGGAGGATTCCATGGGACACTTTACTCCCATTACATCACAGAACAGATGGTATTACCTCCACCCTCAGATTTTTTTAAAGCCTTATTGCTATCTACAACCTAGCATGATAGAACACTAAGGAACTAAGATCCCACTGTACCTTGACTGGGTGGTCACAATAAACGAGCCACCAATCAAAGTAGTAGCCTTACTTAGGGTAACTCACTTATAAGTTCGTGCACCGTGCTAATAATTTCGTTCTAATTTGACTTCAATACAAAGAACAAAATTATTTTATCTTACTTCCTTTTCCCGGCAATTAGAATGAGAACACTAGTTTTTGTAGATGAAGCTATTTGATGTCGACCCCGTGTAATCAATAGGAATAAATTTTGTAGATTATATTCCAATAAAAAAATTAGAATACTTAAACTGAATGATTGTCACCGACACAAAATATCATAAGAAACGTATTTAAGTCCCACTGTATAATTTACTGTCACAAAATTTTTACTACATAAGTTTTTATTTAAAATCGTATATCGCCAGTCCTCACATTTCTTAATACCGACATTTTATACGTAGATAACTGTTAGGCCTCCTCTTTCGGCCTAATATTCTCGGAAACTCCACTTGACTGGTCCCCAAATCAAAACAAAACGTGGACAGAGCATAAATTTGTTCTAAAGCAAAACAGCAAGTCCAGTTAAGTAACCAAACGTCAGTGTGTAAATAAACTTAACACAAGAATATTCGAGTCTTTCCAGCCCATCCACTAGAGTTGATTGGTTAAAAATGGGAAAATTAGCGCTTGTGACTTGATAGGAACATCGAGGCGATCCACACAGGATGCACATATACCAAAAAAGACTGATCAATTTCAGTCTTGAAAATATAACAGTCGGATATGATCAACACAAGGCCTTGCCACAAATGTTTCAATCTAAGTTTCCATACTATATCAGTACACGATAAATAGCAACTCTCGAGAAACAAAAGGTACGAAGTTATATTAAATCTCACCAAGGCTGATGATACTTTCAAGACCAGTAACTACAAACATAATAGCAATAAATAATTATTTTATGCAATATGGAGAACTTTACTTAGAATTACTAGGAACTACCAAAAACCTCAAGAAATGAGTAAGGTAATTACAAACGTAACGTCCTGAGAAAGCAGAACGTTTAATTCTTTTTGAACTAATAATTTGAAGGGTTGAAGCGGACGAAAACCTAAAAATTCGATTGAAAATACGGTATATGATAACTGGAGGTTTTTATTATGCAATACACAAAATTAATCTCGGGAAAGCAAAACTACACATAATTTGGTTATTGTTTTTAGGGAAACTATCCATCAAGAAAAACCCAGGAAAGTATAGTGGTAGATATTGTTCGAAGTAGTCTTTTAATTTAAACACTAAAATAAGGTCACTAGGAACATTTTATACGCCTATCGTCCCTCTGCTAATTTCAAACGAATAAGTTCCTGAATATCACTGAACACCTGATTAACATCTTTGTTTGCGTTTATTCGAAGTAGTTTATTTTGAGATTCATAGAAATGTAAAATAGGTGTTGCATTTTTCTCATACTCATACAAGCGCTTTTTCAAAGCTTCAGGTTTGTCATCGGAGCGATGGACGAGACGATCACCAGTAATCTACAAAAGATATCAAGCAGCAAAAATTATTTGGATCGTTAAGAAAAAAAACGAAAGAACTAAGGCGCACAATCAGGTAGTTAATTGAGGAGATATTTTGTTAAGTATTTCATTTCCATCTTAAAGCGTGTACTGCTCCAGCAAAACAATGAAAATATCCTGACTACTATGATTAAAATAGGTCTCGAAAATTAAAAAAAAAAATCAAAATTATAGATTAGAATAAAATGAATTATTTTTATGGAGCATTAACTTATTAGTCTTATCTGAATGTGCTAACAAGTTTTCAATGTTCAGCTCAATAACAAAACTCAATGATGAATAAATCCATATTCGAAAAAACCAATACACTTTTATTAACAACTTTATGTTAGTGTAAGTTGTTTATAACACTGACAAAAAACAGTCCAGCATACCTTTGTGTAATCTTATCCGCATTCGTGAAGATCTTTTACCCTCATACGTACGATGAAGCGTAAGAAATTGCCTTAGCGAAAAAAAAACTTGCACTTTCCTGTAGTAAAGGTCGACCCTAAAAATGCACATCCCATGGATATCCGTCTCCGGTGGTAAAGCCTCAACAAGCACAGTGCTAGCACAAAAATTACTCACAAAAAGGTCGTGCGTGACTGACCTCAAGCAGTTGTCCCTTGGGTACTGCGGTCGCGCTCTCGGGTCACTAAGACCACCACTAACCCTATTTCCTTATCAGATACCTCCAGGAAAACCCTTCCACGGTGTGGGCAACCGGGAAGTAATAACCGCCCTCATACCTCTGACGGCATCCAAGATTGCTGTAATCTCCCTCTTCAATTCCTATTGTTCCTCCTATGTCGACTCAACTCAACACTTCTTCCTCAGGTTTCACTATGGTCAACGATTATAGTGTGCGAAACACTGTCCCGGGTCTACTCAAACCTCGCTCCAAACTAAATATTGGAGTCTTCAATGTGCACACCCTATGTCAAATCAGCCAGCAAGCTTTCTTGGCTAAAACCCTAGAACCTTGCACTATTGATGCATGCTGTGTCTCCGAAACACTTGACCTCACCTCGCAAAAACCGGGAGCCGGTGAGATACACTCTCCATGTATTTGGCGACCCAATGGCTAGTATTCGTGGACGAGCGAGTGTAGGTATAGCACTAAGTACGAGGGTAGAACAAGCATTATTAGAATGGATACCCGTTAAGAGTCGTCTATGTGCTGTTCGGATAAACGTCTCTGTAGGAACTCGGAAAAATATTGACACACATCGTTGCCTTCTCGTCATTTCTGCCTATGCTCCTACTGACTGGAGCCCGGATGAAGTGAAAGGTGTTTATTTATTTATTTATTTGAACACATAAATATTGGTACAAGAGAGCGCCAATATATATGCGCCACACAAAACAATGAAAATTCGAAGAGATAGAAAAAAAACTAAGGAGCGCAAAAGAAAAAGAGAACGATAACGAAGAGATTGGTGTAAAGTAGTGTGGTAGTAACGAGGGAACGGAAAGGTACAATCAGAAGAAATCTTTCAGGTAAGGGAGACACAACCACTTTTTATGAAGAAAGTAAAAGAAGGTTACAGCAGGATCGCCACTGGCTTCTATTCTGAGCCATATCTGATAACGCCTCTAGCCACTGTGTAGCACCGTCTCTCAGACCCCAACCAGGGAGTCGTGAAGGACCGACAGAAGCCAGTCCTTTGCAGCTTTCTTTCATACCACGACACCATGTCATGCACTGACCACCTCTCCGCTTTTTCCAACCAGTCCCAGAGTCGGCAAATAATGCACAACGTGGAATTCTCTGGGACGACATTCGTAGAACATGTCCAAGCCACCGAAGTCGGTGTTTCAAGAATGATGAACTCTTCATGTCGAAGTGAAAGATGACTTTTACATAAATCTTTTTGAACTTCTTCATAAAGCTAAACGCTCAAACATAGTACTCACAGCAGGTGACTTTAATACCCAGGTAGCTTAAAACAAACAGAAAGACATTTAAGTGGGTGTCTTGCTGTTTTGGCTCAAAGAACGGTTAATGGTGACCGTCTGTTGCAACTGTGTTTAGGCAACCATTCATTTCTAACAAATACTAATTTTAACCATAAGAAGAGACATTGTCTAACATAGCGATCACGCATTTGCTTGCGCCTCTCTGTACGCAGGAATGCCACATTAAGACTCATTAGACTTTAACTCAGTGACGAGGAAGCCGAGAGCAGATTCCAGGAACAACTGTGGTCACACTTAGGCAGTTCTAAAAACGAAGCTGACTCAGATGTTGCTTGGAAAGATATACAAATATCTGTGGAAACAGCAGTGACATTTATTAGTGATTTAAACCAAAGGGTTACGAAAAACCAATGGATTTCTACTCAGTCTATTGCACTGATAGATTCTCGTAAACTCACTCTATCATGCTCTGAACACGATGAAGAGCGTAAAGTCAAATCTAAGTTAACCAAAAGTCGTGGTATGAAAGAAAGCTGCAAAGGACTGGCTTGTGTTAGGCCTTCACGACTGCCTGATTGGGGTCCGAGAGATGGTGCTACACTGGCTAGAAACGTTATCAGATATGGCTCAGAATAGAAGCCAGTGGCGATCCTGCTGTAACATTCTACTTTCTTCATAAAAAGTGGTTGTATCTTCCTTAACTGAAAGATTTCTTCTGATTGTACCCTTCTGTTCCCCTACTATTGCTATTATTATTATTACACTACCTTACACCAATCTCTTCGTTATTGTTTTTTCTTAATTATTATTATTATTTCTTTTTACGTTCCTCACTTTTTCTTCTTAGATTCTCATTGTTTTGTGTGGCGCACATATATTCGGCGCACTCCTGTACCAATATATGTGTTCAAATAAATAAAAAAGTCTAAGAAACGGCTGTGAGTAGCAGTGGGCAACGAAAGAAAAAGACGAAAAAGGCAGCAGTTTTAGGTAACACCAGACAGCTTTTCAGACTAGTACAAGATACTGGATTTAAAAAGTGAAGTTTAGATGAGACGATCTCAGAAAAAGACGACACCCTTATCTGCTCCCAGACGTTTAGAACGATGAGCAGAACACTTTAAAGAGAAGTTCAGCTGGTCTTAAGCTAGCCACTATTTCCAAACAGCCTGAATGGAACATTGAGATAGATCCCCCGACTCTAACTGAAGTTCAGAAAGCTATAACTAAGTTGAAATTAGGGGGATCAGCTGGTCCAGATGGATCGACTCCAGAAGTCTTCATGTATGGTGGTCCAATTTTAGCTAAAATCTGGAAGTTGGATGTAATCCCATCTAACCGGTCACAATCACTAGTTGTCCCAATATATAAGGGGTCAAAATCATCCTGTGACAACTACATAGGGATTAGTTTGAGTAATATGGCATCTAAAATACTAGCCTCAATAATTATCGGACGCCTTACAAAGACTCGTGAACTGGCTGACTTCAGACCTGGTCGTGGCTGCGTCGACCACATAATCACCATTTGTCAGATCTTAGAACACAGGCGTCCGATAATCAGTTTTTTATTTGAAAGCAGCATTTGACTCTGTAAACCGAGAGGTTCTGTAGCAGTCTGTCATTGAAAGGTGTACCTTAGAAGTACATAAACATTGTGGAGTCTCTTTACTCGAACACCAATCGTTGAGTCAGAGCTTATGGAGAACTGTCATCTGATTTTGCAACCTCAAGTGGTGTCCGACAAGGATGTCCACTATGGTGGTGGTGTATGCTACTTATATTTGTCGACATAAGTTATATTGACGCCAACCGGAAGTGGAAAACCTGGCAGCAGAAGACTAGGACAATAAAGTTGAAGAGAATAGAAGGAAAAATGAGAATGAATTGTGAACTTGTAGAATCATGCAGAATTTGAAGGACAAATGATGGAAATGTGCAAATGAAGTATTCAGTGTATGGTTCTTACGTTTTGCCAAGATACTCTGTAATTTTGTATTAAAATACCATGGTTGTCCCCACCTATGTTCTCGTTCACTACAACATCAATGGCTAAGATGCTGAATCCTAATAACTCTAAGCATCACATATACCACAGAAAACGAAATACAGCATCAGAAACAATGTAAACAAAGCTAGACGAATAAATTAAAGTACTTGAGACAGCTCTAGAAGAACACTCTGACCTAGCCCAGACAGAAACCAATATCCTTAATGTTGCAAAAGGTACCTTCAAATAAACCCCTGGTTAAGCAATTAACAAAAAATGGCGAAAGTTTATAGACTTCTTAAACAGGAGTTAAAAAACCAAGAGAGCTAAAAAATGGCTAATTAATCAAACTGACCAAAGTAACTTTAAAAATTCCAATATTGTGAATTAGAGCAACGCATATAAACAAACAATACTGTTTTCAACTAGATCCTCACCAGGCTTTAATATAATATACTGTAATATTTATATGATTATATGAAATTATTAAACTTCTTACTTATTATGTCTAGTTATGTAATCTACTCCACTTTTATCATTGACTCATAAACTGCCTTGGTTGGTTTAATAATTCACATATGTATATAAATATTACTGTATAATGGAATAAAGCCTGATGAGAATCTCATTGAAAACAATATTGTTCGCTTACATATGTTGTTCTGATCAAAATAAACGTAACTACGTCCAGGAAAAAGTGAAGTTACCAATGAGATTGGGAAAGCTAAAAAGGAACTCATACAAGACCTAATACCTAAACGTGAAGAACGCTTACGTCAAGACGAATAGCATTCTCAGAGATAGACTGATCATATTTATAAACCGAACCATCGACACTCAATAAAACAAAGCCAAAAGATCGATATCACCCCAAACGATCACTATCAAGGACTTTAATGGAATTGAAGTAAGCCTAACTGAAAGCAGAACTTATAATGGAGCTGGGTCAGAACCTCTAAACACCTATGAAAAGCTAGGAAAAGAGTACAGCAAATAAAATATAAGAATTCTTCAGGTAATAACGGGACAACAATAGAAATGAATAAGTATGGTGTGAAAAAAATCGAAGTATAGACAATGAAGAATAATGAACGTGCTTTGGTTAAACCTAGATGAAATACCATGATACTTGATAGATGACAATGTAGCCAGTGTCTATACGAACAACTGGACGAAAACAGACCTCAATAACGATTGGAGTATATTCCTAATAGATACCATAGGAAAAACATTCGTTGGAGTTATATGTGAACAACTAATTAAATTCACCAATCATAATACACCGTCTACGCGATTCAATTTACGAAATAACTTATCCACAGTGGTGGCAACAGAGTCAATGATATATATCGTACAAAATGACCTGGGTACCAACCAAGAACTAATACCAAAGCTTTCGATCTAATTAAAGCATTCGACACCATCTTAGCAACTAATTCAAAACACTTTTAATAAAACATGTTCCCAGCTAAACATAAACCAATGCATAATAGGATTTTTCGATGAACTGAAAGGTCGTTTAGGAGGAACTAACTCATATTTCATTACTTATAGAGGGGTAAAGCAAGGTGGTAAGGATGATCAACCACTCTTAAATCTTGTCTTACAATAAAAGTCCTAAGCTCCTCCAAAAGACAAAACACTAGAGGCCTAAGAATGACTGATAAATTCAAAATATGAGCTAAGAAATATCATATATTGCAAATTCAGATGATTTATGACTAACCCCAACCTTAACTAACGAAACAAGAACATTGAGTTTGCTACAAAACTTCCTTAGTTAACTTTGTATGAAAATTTCTCACGAAAAGACGGCAACTATGATTATAAACACACAAAACAATAACTCACCAGTCATCATAGGTGACAGCACGATAAAGGAGGCAAACTCTCTTAAGTACCTGGGATCGATAGTTCGAAGCGAAGGTCACCCTAGTGACACGAATAATGTCAACCTGATAAAAGCTAAACATACCACAATAAAAATAAGTCCAGTATGGCGAGCTAATGGTATAAGTCTGAATACTGAAACAAAACTTGTAGAATCCACAATTTTACCAATCTTAACACATGGACTGGAGACAATAGTCCTTAGTAAAATGATTGGATGAGATAAGGAGCAGTTCCAAATACCATCTAACATATGATGTTAGGCACAAACGATCTGGAGCACACCCCAATAACATTACAAAAGGAAATCTGACTATCAAACGTGACCAGTAGAATACAATAGAATAGAATGAATGAGTAGTTCGTCACGCACAAAAGGCAAAAGATATAATATTTGGGTAATTCAAAAAGATGAAGTTTAATAGACTGTGATATATTACCACAATGCATTTTGAACGGTCAGATTATTTAACCTATGCGTGCACTTTGCCACCATATGAAGACCAATGCAGACATGACGGCGGAAATTCTAAGTAAGAGAAAAAAAGATCTCTAAAGAGCTTTAAACTAAGTCAGTGGTGCAATTCGCCCAAAGATTAGGAGTCGAAAGACATTATAACACACCAGCTAACGAACCTTCACGAGGACAACTTGAAAAAAGTTCGGACCAGTCAATTTCAACGCACAATCTGGTGCGTATGTGCACTGATTAAGGTTGCCATACACTACTAGCACAGCGGGATGAAATTGCTAGGGTGAACCATAGTAGTAGAAATGGTATCAGTACCAATGGTAATAGAAAATATTGCCGATTGAAGTAACGACTCAAAAAACGTAAATCAGAGAAACAAAAAACTTGAGGAATTCAGAAGCACGGAACCCAGGGTAGACAAAAAAGTGGATTGGATGATTTAGTTCGTTATCTATTTGATTACATTGAAATACACGTATAGTGCGTGCAATCAAGCCTAAAATAATAACTCCATTGTCTACATAAAAAGGCTTGCACAACAATGTACCTAAAAACTATCTATTACGCTCGATAAGTAGACATTTATATTATGAATAAAATATAACTTACGTCATCTACCATGGGGACTTTCGGGGGATTGAACAATTCATGATATGACCTACCACTAGCTAAGTGGAATAATCTGCCACAAATCCTTTTTTCCAAGATGGTAGGATCGAGCTTGAATTCCAAGGCAGCCGACAGATGAATCTGACGATCTCTAAGAAGGTTATCAAGCTGCGGTTTGCATATGCAACCTCATGAACATACTTTTTTGGCTTGTTCTAGTGTACGTGGAAACCCGTCGAATAGAAGTCCATTTTTACATTCCGGAGAATTGATTTTTTGTGCGATTAGGTCACAAACTATGTCATCTGAAACAAGTCCTCCTGATTCCGTAATTTTCTGTACTTTTTGACCAAGTTCTGATCCTGATGCTATAATGGCTCTAAGAATATCTCCTAAAGAAATTTTCAAAAAAAACACAGATGCATACCAGTAGATAAATGGCAGATTTTATAACGTTCAGCTATTTTTACTGCCTACAAACTCGTACATATAGATTAATATAGATTTACCTGAGTCCCTTTTCCACTACCTGGTGGGCCAATTAGAACTAAATCAATACGTGTCCCTTCACCGAATCGCCACCTTCTATACCAACTAGCGAATTCATGAAACATTGGGACGAACGAGACGCAAAACGACTATGAGTAGAAAACGAACGATTTAACCACCTTCCGTCTTTAGTGACCTCAGTGGTTAGTGACAATGGCTGTTTTGAATATTTGAAGTTTCAGTTTCGAGTTTTGGTTTCAGTTTGGGAAGGGCAGGAGGTTTAATGATTTGTATTAGTTATTATAATTATGGTCTCTCAGTTGATTCAACCTTTGTTTGAAAGAGTCGACAGATAGAGCTACAACCGTGTTTTGAGATTATGAATTCCACTCGTTGATGATTCCATTCGGCGCATTTTTCGAACGGAAGGTTTAGTCCTAACGTGATTTGCATTTATCAAACTTTTGCTATGTTCTTACGCAACAAAAGTACTATTTCAGCTGTAAAGAATCTATCCTCAGCCATACGTTCGGCAGATTACTTTATTTTAGTTTCACCATATTTAATAGTTAACTGTGGTTTTGCCTCAGCTTACTATTCCTTTTTTTCGTTTTCCACGTTTTCATCCATTTTCGTCCGTTTTCAGTGTGCTTTTTAGTGTATTTTTACGGTCTTAGGCTTTTTCAAGCATCTGTAACATAGTTTGCTTCAACATAGTCATAAAAAACTCATACAAACGTTCGGGATGCCGTTTTGCTGTTACAACTGCCATGCAGTCCGACGACTGCAAAGTTTGGTTCCGTGAAGCGTGCACATATCTGATGGCAACTGCTTACAATAGACTCAGCAAGTCGGACCAAAAGTGGGTATGTGTCACGTGCAGCACGGACGCTGTAGTCTTGTTGAGTAACATCATCGTCCTACGGACAGGTCTGCGGAACAAATTGTCAGCAAAATTGGATAACGACAGTAAAAAAACGGGTAAGCAAACAAGAGCGCGTAATGAGTACAAGATTAGGGATGTCGACAGGTATACCATCGATGGAGCATCCATTACCACTAATGATGACGTGTTGTAGCTCAGCACCATCATCACATCGACGGTATTAGACCCCCTAGGTAAACTCAGGTCTCCCAGCTCAAGGTCCCTGAACACAACAGTGGTTCCGAAAATCCCTGTAGGTGATTCGACCTACGTTAGCAGAGCCCAAAAGAACCAGGTGTCACCGCGTAAGCTGAGCATCCCAAATGTTGTTTTACGGAAAACAACTGGTGATTTGGTCGAACCCTACTCAATCAAACTGTGACATCAGGGAATGGAATTTCATTAAACAGTCCTTGAGGCTCAAAGACATACTGACTCAGCATATGACGAGACTAACCAAGAATGATGGTGATCCTAGACGCCGTCTAATGAAGATAACCTTCCCATCCTCTCACATGGCGGCTGCAACTCTGGAAGCATTTCGTGCAAACAGACGACGATTGCCACCTGGAATCCACATGCACCCGGATAGGCCATACGAAGCTAGGACCAAACACAAAGGCAAGATGGAGCTGACCATTCCACTTGTAGATTGTCTCGATGATAAAAATACGTGTAAAGGACAGGGCCTACCACCTCGACAAACCTCATATAGGTGGACTACCGGTCCATTCACACAACGCTCATACAGACAAACGGACGAAGCTCACGCGTTCCAAACTGAAAGCATAAACCGCTTACATATGAACGCCGCGAGTCTACCAAACAAATTGGATGAATTACGTGAACTTAGCAACGCTAATAAGGCCCATCTGATAGGGATATCTGAATCTTGGATATCTCAGCCCTCAGACCGTGAGTTAGCATTACCTGGGATGTCTTTGTTCCGCAACGACAGAATAACAGGAATTGGTGGCGGAGTAGCCATATACATAAGCTCTTGCTTGGAGGTGCACCAAGTTCACAACCTCGAGTTTAACAATCTTGAGAAATCCATATGGTATTCGAGGTGTCTAGTCGGAGTCATTTACAGGAAGCCAACTGCCGACATTGAGTACGATAGTCGTATGCTGGAAGGACTATCCCGTTCTACCCGTCTCGGGTTCACACACATCCTGATTCTAGGGGACTTTAATCTCCCTAGAGTCAACTTCGCGGGACACAGGTATACTGGAGGCAACAACTCAATTCAAGCTCGATTCTTCAACCTCATCGATGACTTGGGATTATACGAAAATGTGGGGTCGGCAACTCGTTGGAGAAACAGTCAGACACCATTGCAGTTAGACTGTGTATTCACAAACGAAGAATTCCTAGTTGTCAACCTCTCAATCCTGGCTCGCCTGGGAAAAAGCGATCATGCCGTCATAGCCTTCAGTTTTGTCAGCAAAACTAAGCTAAGGTATCCCACCAATAACTTGCGTTGGAGTTTTAAACGGCTGAAATTGCCAGCTCTACATGACTATCTACAACAGGTGGTTTGGGATGTTCACCCCCAACTCGATGTGGACGGTCATTGGGACTTCTTACTGCACACACTCTTATGTGCTACAAACCATTCTGTTCCTCAAACGGTTCCCGAAAAGCTGTAAGCCACCTGCAGTAATCAAGAACCGTACCCTTCGCCTGCTAGATCGTAAAAGGCACTGTTGGGCGGAATACAAACGAACTAATAACGACGGAGCGTATAGGCAATATAAACATATCAGGAACATATGCACGAAGACTATAAGAGAAAACAGGCTTCAGTACCAGACAAAGCTTATGGACAAATATGCCTCTAACCCTAAAAGCCTATTCCGTTATGCAGCCTCTCTTCGTCAAGCCAAAACAGGAGTTTCGCAACTGCTAGGTCTTAACTGCCAGACCAACAACGATGGCGACACCGCTGACCTTCTGGCTGAACATAACTTCCAGACATTTCAACCGACCGACATCAACTATACTGATGAGAGTTTCATCTGCGGTCCCATAGGATTTTTCGAAGTAAACCTAAGGCTGACTTGGTGTTCCAGAAATTGCAGCACTTCAGACTAGACACTTCTCCTGGCCCGGATATGGTTCATTCTGCCATACTAGGGGGAGCAGCCTCAATCCTGGCATTGCCGCTTAGCGTGATGTTCTCACACTCGCTAAGCCGAGGCAAATTACCAGAAAATTGGAAGTTGGCTCACATCACATCAATTTTAAAAGGAGGTCGACTCAATGAACCTCCAAGTTATCGGCCGGTGGCTCTTCCGTCATTACCTTCAAACCTCATGGGGTCCTTGACATGCGGCGGTTTAAACGACTATCTACTGTCCTTAAATTTCTTCTCACCCCAACAGCATGGTTTCAGAAAGTGTTACTCTTGTATAAGCAACCTGCTGACTGTGGTGGACAGATGGACAAGCATCCTCGATCGCAAGGGAAAGGTTGAAATCATCTACTTAGATTTCTCAAAAGCTTTTGATAAAGTTAACCACTTGTATCTTATCAATAAGCTCAAACGACTAGGTATCAGACCACCTCTAATCGGTTGGCTTACTTCATACCTGAAAAATCGACACTTGAAGGTTAGGGTTAATTTCATTTTATCTCAAGCAATGTGCGATACATTAAGTTTATATGGTTGCGTTGAGGATAAATTCACCCGGAATGTCCTAGTGAGGCCCCAGGGCTCAGTACTAAGACCTCTTCTCTTCTTGATATACATAAATGATCTTCCTCAACAGGTAACGTCAGAATTATTACTCTTTGCTGATTATGTTAAACTTTGGAGAGAGATACGCAATAAAGACGATATACAGGCACTTCAGGAGGATCTGACTCGACTACAAAGTTGGGCAGATAATAATGGACTTACTTTTAACACTTCAACGTGTAAAGTAGTCCATCTGCGATATGTCGCTGACTACAGTTATAACTTAGGAAACTCCCCTCTAGTAGTATCCCAAGTCGAAAAATATTTAGGAGTCCTGGTTCCCTATGATTTAAAATCTTACGCTAACTGTAACAAAAATGCCTTCCGAGCAAACCTTGCACTGGTAACGTTGAGGCGCATTTTTGGCCAGTTTGACGGAAGAACTTTCCATATGATCTTCACTAGCTTTATGCGTCCCCATTAAGAGTACGGAAACGTAGTACTTCCTCCCTCACTCCAAAAGAATAAGGACACCCTGGAGCGTATCCAATGGCGAGTCACGAAATCAGTCCGAGGACTCAAATATAAACTTTATGAAGAGCGCCTTCATTACTAGGCCTTCACCCATTAGAGCATAGGCGTCTTAGAGGTGATCTATTAATGGCTTGTAGTATATTCAACACTTCTGGACATCCTCTCAAACACTTTCTTAAGCTTAGTCCCAACACTAACTTAAGGGGTGACAGCCGAAAACTAGAGACACAACGTAGCAGAACGGACTGTTGACACAACTTTTACTCCTTAAGAGTTGTCAAATGCTGGAACACGCTGCCAGCAGAGCTAGTCCAAGCGACTTTCCAGTAGTCCTTCAAGAGGCAACTTGACCAATTCTTAAGGACCAAGGACAAAATCGTACAATGATTTACGAATTTCTTTTTCCTCTTTTATTGCTAACATACCTAGTTTCCTGCGTGGAGGATAACGGTGATCCCCTGCTACAAGACACGGAAGCCTGTTAAGCGAAAGCTTCTTCTATTCCGTCCACAACTATTTGAACCATCTGATAGGAAGGTCAATATTCAGCTGACAAGTAATTTGTTCTGGTCTTGTTAACATTTTTAGTATTCTTCTAGTCTTTTGTTTATTGATCCTGTGTCACAGACTGATTGAACGACATATATATGAGGTTCGCAACGAAGTTAGCTAGTTCCAATTGTAACGTATGATGCATTTAATTGAATCCCATAGATTTGCCTATATTAAGCTTATTTAGTGAACCAAAGAAATCGAGTTCTTTAATGGTCACAGTGTCTAGTGTGTGCGTGTTTGTGTGGATGCCTTGTACAAACTGACGGGAAGTGTTTCTCTACGGCATATGCATTGCTAAAGTAATTTGAGAATACCTGAGCTTTACCATAGTCGTTATCCACTAATGATGAGGCATTACTGTCTCCCCTTAGTGCTGGAATATTTTTTCTTCATTTAGTCCCTTGGCTTACTTACGAATTCAAGCGTTTGGGCCATTCTATAGATTCCTTAACAGTTTCTTCTTCGTACAACCTTCTAAACTTACGGAGGGTTGAGGTATAAGTATTCCGAGTTTTTCGATATTGAAATTTTGTCTCATCAATCCCCAGTGACCTAAGTCTCTCTCACCTCCTTCCCCTCTCACGAAGAAGGGCGTGAACCTTCCTACTGAACCATGGAAGGGAGTTTCTCGAATCTCTTGGTGTAGTCCAAGGGATGGGGGGTGCAGTGACTTTTAAGTACAAATTTCGAAATGCAACTCAGACTGTTTCAATCGGGAACTCTAGATCTATTGTTTAATCTA